GAAAGGGGTGAAGCAACCTTCCAGATGATTGATGAAGGTATCTTTCAGCTGGCACGTAGAGGGCTCTGGCATTCATAGTTCTAAATTTAGTTTTGCTAATGCATCTTTCCCCAAATACAGTGCTTTACTGCTCATCACATAACTCTTCCTGATGTCCCTGTTCATTAATTTTGGTGTGAAGAATAGTTGTAGGCTGCAAAATTATTAAACCACAATCTCTGGGCTTGTGTGCATTTAAATAATAGTGTGTATAACTCTCCTATAGTACAATTACCTCATTAATTGCTCTAGTGTGAGCATAGGCACTATGATTAAGACCAGGTTCTCATTACAGTAATTATCTGATTAATTGTTCGAGTGTGAATGTAGCCCTAGACTGCTACATGGTATATAGAGATCCTTGCTCCTTCCTATTGGAAACTATCCTCCTTGTTCACACACACACACACACACACACACACAGAGGTACACCACAGGATCCCTTAGCTGACTCTTTCTCCAGGTCATAATCTCTGTTTCAAGCAATCACTCCATTTCCTCTACTCCATGGCACACATCTCACTGGGTAGACTTTCATTTTCATCCTAAAAGGCACATATTAATTTCCATCTGCGCTGGAAATGCCCAGTGGGGCATGTGTAATTATACTGGGTTGTAATTAGCCCAGGGTTAAATGGGAAAAATGGTAACTAGACTGGAGATGGTGACTACAAGGTCTAATGAAGAGTGTATTTAATGGACTGTTACAAGGCTCAATGTGGCATACGGGGAGGGGGAGTCACAGTGCAGTTCTCCTTTCAGGGGCTTTTATCCTGCTGCCACCTCTACTCCAGAACATCAGCTATCCTTCCTCTCCTTCTTTGCCCTATAGCACTTAGAGTATCCTTATATTCACATGATGACTCCCTTCCCTCTAGCTCTCCTCTTCTTTCTCCCATTTTCCCAAGGTGAATGAAAGATGGGGAAGGCATTATCAGGTTTGGGAGATGTGTGCTCAGGAATGGCGCAATAAGAGCCTGGATTCCAGTTTCCTGCAATTTCCCTGACAATCCTGAAATACTTAGGGCCTATTATTAATGCCATAAAGCTATAAGTAGTGATCTAGGCACCAAAGGCAAATGCATTTTATGGAGGAGACCTCATGAAGAAACCTTGGGCCTCAGGACACAAGGTTCCATTGGTGGAGAGGCTCCAAGATACCACAGGGAGACTGAGCAGGAAATGAGGAGTAGCAAGAGGCCAAAATGTGAGAAAGTTAGGTGGGTTGCTGCTTTGAGAGGAAAATCATTTGGTAGCTTCCTAGTTTAATTCATTTTAGCACCTAAACAAGGTGCTAAGCTCTGGGGGTTCTTCCTCTATAAAGAGGACAGATATGGTTTCTCCTCCAGATTTTATGTAAGACTTTACCTTAATTACTCTTATATTTAGGTACATTGTGGGACACTTCCTAGAATCCTTCAGATCACATCACATGGGAGGCAATGAGGAATAGCAGCTAAAGAGCTGGGCTTAGAATGAGGAAGACATAAGACTGAAATCTGCTTCAAAGACTTGCTAGCCATGTGACAGTGGGAAAATTGCTTAATTTCTCTCACCTTCATCTTCCTCAATGGTGAAATAGGGATGAAATAACCTCTACCTCATAGGGTTGTTATGAGGATCAACTGAGTTAATGTGTATAAAGTGCTTTTCAAATTGTAGTGAGAGCTATCCACCATATATAGGATAAAGGTGCCCTTGTCCGGCTTGAGGGGAGGCAGAAGAAATCTCTAGCTTCTTTTTCTACCATCCTTCTCAGAGAGACTTTATTTCCTGCAAGGAATTGAAGCAGGAGGGTGGAGCCAGAAGCTTGGCCCCTTGTCTCTCCGCAGAAAGAGGGGACACTGGGCAGGAATTATATATATATCTATATATCTATATCTATATCTATATATAGATATAGATATATAGAGATATATATATATATATATATCTATATATCTGCTCCCTTAAATATTATTAGTCTAGGGGATATGATTTTCAAGTTTGAGTCAAATTTTGATTGCTGTTCATTAATGTGGGAGGGAGGAAAATCCCAAACATTATATCCAAAGCTTCCCACCAAATACCAGTTCCACCATGAATAGACATGTGGCATAGAAATCCATTTATCTGAATTATACAGCAAAACAGAAATTAGAGAAAGAATACATAGGAGAACCTATCCAGACAAAGCAGATTGAATTAACTCTATTGGGAGTTATTGGGAGTGACACAATAGCTCAACCAAGAGAGAAAGAGTTAGATTCTCATCCAAATGGGAAATTCTTCTAAGTCTCTAGTACAACAAGTTGGAGAAAGGGATAGAACAGAGCCTGCCAGTTCCTCTTATGTCTTCCCAGAATCTTTCCCCTCAGCAAACTGAAGTAGAGCTGGCATTTTTCATCTTCTTCTTTAAAGATGGAAGCCAGAAGTACCAGAAGTGACTATAGAGCCTTAACTCTTGAAGAAACTGTCAAAAGCAAGGAGACTGAAGCAATTGAAAGAGCTTGAAGAGGATGAAAATTCTCCTTGTTCCTCACCCTCGCCAGCAGTTTTGCTTTAGTCCTATGCAGGTGCAGGGCACTGATCTCCATCAATAAGAAAAGAGTCCCATACTTATAGGCTTTGGGACTGGGATTACAAAATCTTAAAACATTATTATTATTACTATTATTATCATTATTATTGATAGGCAACTACCTACTCCGTCCATTTATCATATCATTCCTGGTCCTTGCTCTTCTCTATTAGTAAACAACACCAGATTGTACTTTCTAGATGGCAGCTAAAGTCCAAATGTCCCATGGACAAATTTGTTTCTCTCAGGTTTTTGAAGAGTAGAATTAGAGCTGCAAGCAGCCCTAGAGGCCACAAAGTCCAGTTCTTTCATTTTATAGATGGGAAAACTGAGGCCTCAGAGAAGTGAAATAACTTGCTTAAAGTCACACAGGTGTCAACCAGAATTCTAACTTGAGTTCTTCCTGTGACTCCAGAGTCACATTGCCATGAACATACAGACCTAGAATTTCAAATACTTTCAGGAGAAGGAAGGAAATGCTGTTACCTTTGAATTTTTTTAAAAGCTATTTAGACTCTAAGCATTTAATTTAATTTGTCTGAGTTTTCTTGCAATCAATAACTAACTTGAAAAATCAATAAATCAAAAAGAGCCAAATGCAGTAAAATTGAATAACTCTCAGAGCTATAATAAAAATCAATATGCAGCAAAGTAGTTTCAGAAACCATTCCTCCTTCCAAGAATAAATATTTGTCCTGGTGGTTACTTAGACATTTTAAAATAGGTTGAGGAATACGTTAAACCTCTTCTGTAATGTCTGTGCATTTTATTGCTCCTGGAAATTCTCATCTAAGTGTACAAAAATGCTTATGGGAGAAGGAAAGGGAATGGAATCTCCCCACTGCCTAGAAAGTAAACTTTCAAAACTGATCATGTTAAGAAAATAGGTTGAGATGAAGAAGGGTTATGTCATCGAAAGCACCGGCAGCAGAGGAGCAGCCCCATCTTACCTTTGCAGCCTTAGGTCATAGTGCCTGATCCCTTTCATGTAGTCAATCAATGTTCCAGGGAAATGGGACTTTTCTTCTCACCAGCTTCTCCTCCCTGCTTGCCTTTTCTCAGACCATCCCACCTATATGGTCTCTCCCAAACTGTGCCACTATCTGTACCTGCTAAAGTCCCTTCCTTCCCACAAAGCCTAACTCAGGGGCCAATTTTGCCACAGAAGCACAGAATCTTAGAACTGGGGGTGTCAGAGCCACCCAGTCAACCCATGCCCTTAGCAAAAATCTCTTACAACATCCTCAATAAGTGGCTATGCATCCTTTGCTTGAAAACCTGCATTGATTATCCCACTTCTGGATAACTCCAACTGTTATAAGTTTTCTTTTTTTTTTTTTGCATATAAACAGTTCAAAGCTATCTGTGTGTGATTTTTGTGACTTCCTTAAAATTTGTGTTGCTTCTATTTTGCACATAAGGAAATTGAAGTTCTTAGAGATTAAGTGACTTGTGCATGGTCACAACCCAGGAAGTATGAGTCAAGATCTGAATCTAGGACTCAACTATATTGTAAATCTCTTTCCTTTGTACCAATATTGCCCTCACTATTTCTAGTTCTGTCCCCAAGGGCCAAGCAAAACCAATATAACCCCTCTTCCATATAAGAGCCCTTCAATTACTTGATGACAGCTATCCCTTTCCAGCCTTTCCCTCCCCTAGTCTTCATAATCATTAGCAGTGCTTTCTAGGTTCTATCTGTCATTATCATTTCTTTCCACATGAATCACCAGGAGTGGGTAGTGGTTTTTATGTTTGACAAGTCTCCACAGGCTTTTTATCTTGTCCAGTTACATGCTCTAGGAAGACAGGAAACCTCATTATTCATTATATTAGTTTAACAAATAGTGGCATTGGTTCCCTTTAGCAGGAAGATACCAACCACCACTAGTTTCTTTTTCTTTAGAAATTTACTTTATATACCCTCTCCCTCCTGATAGCATCAATGGGGCTCCATAAATATATATATATATATATATGTAAAATAAGATGTGTGTTTGTTTGTGTCTCAAACAGCTCTGAAAATAGACCCATCATCATTCCTTAGAGGCCAAGAAGCTGCTTCCTCCTGAAAGGGTCATTTTCCCTTCTCTATATGAAGAGCTCCTCACATTTATGTAGGTTTTAAAGAACTTTCCTCACATCAACCTGTTAGGGGTAGGTAGTGAAGGTCTTATTACTCCCATATTATACATAAGTAAATTAAGGCTCTTAGAGATTAAGTGACTTGTCCATGGTCATGACACAGAAAGTATGAGGCAAGATCTGAACCTAGGACTCAACCGTATTGTAAGTCTCTTTCCCTTGTACCGACATTGACCCTGGAAATGCTACATAATTATCACTTTGCACCAAGCGTTCAATGTTCTTTCCCATCTTTCTTTGTTTTGCTCTCCTTTACCTTCTAAACTTGTGACACATAGCAGTATTCCCCTCTCCTCATCTTGTTCTTTCTTTGTTTCCTGGAAGCACATGTGCCATTCTTTCAAGGAATACTTCTTTCTTTCCAATAATAGAGAATAGAGAGGCATTCTTCCAGCACTTTCTCCTCTAGGATGGAGACCAGTTTATACTTTATGTCATAGGGATCTGGAAGGAACACAAATATAGTGCACTCTACGTGAGACTACAAAATTCACCTTTGCATCCATATTTATTGGAGGCAAGATTTTCAGTTCTTTGTTGTTATTTGTAATAGTTTTCAAAATTCATTTTCATCAGTGTGTATGCCCTTATTAGATTGTAATCACCTTATAAGTAATAGTAATAATGATAGCTACTAGCTATTATTTATATAGTGCTTTGAAACTAGAAAAGAGCTTTACAAATATTAATCATTTTATCCTCACAACAACCTTAGAAGAGAGGTGCTATTATTATATCCATTTTACAGATGAGAAAACTGAGGCTGAAGGAGGTTGAATAGTTTGCCCAAGGTCACAAAGCTAATAAGTAGGATTTACATTGTCTCTATCCCCAACACTTAGTACATAGTGGACATTTAATATAGGTTTGTTGAATTAGAAGGCTATGGTCCTTGTGGAATACAGAAAAAGCAGAGTAGAAAAAGTTAAAAATTCTGTCAATGTATCCTTAGCACTGCATGAAAAAGAAGTTTAACATATGAAGTAGGCATCAGGGGTCTGTGCTATTTAACATGCTGAAGATTATGGTAGGATGGATAAATATCCTGTCATTACAAATTGCTAAATGAGTTTCCAGTTCTAATTTTCATATGATATGCTCCTCTCCCTTCATTGGACCAAATGTCTTATGTGAATTATGGGGGCAAAAGAGGAAAGTGCTTTTCTCTTCTTGGGTGATCTTATCTCCTTTATTACATTTGCTGGAGTCAGTATGAGAGGACCACCTTGGGAAAAAAAATATAGCATTAAAATCTCCAAGGCCTGTGATATTAAAGGTGCCCCTTGATTGATATGATAGGCATTTCTTGAAAAGTTCAGTGAACTAAACTCTGTATATCAAACAACACCACAAATGTTCCAGAAAGTCTTTCTATTTGAAATTATCCTTTAGTAGTGTGAGTAAATATTCCCTTCCTTTATGTCAGAAGACCTGGATTCAAATTCCAGCTCTGCTATAACTACTACTAGCTATCTTTGTGACTTTGGGAAAGTTGCTTAACTTCTCTTTCTTATTGTTTTCCTCATCCATAAAATTAAGTGATTGGACTAGTGATTGCCGTTACTCCCTCTTGCTCTAATTCCTATCATCCTTTGATTCTTAGGTCTAAATTTTTGCATGTTAAATTTTTATAAAATGTCATTGTTTTCCCAATTTTATGGACATTTTTTTTCATATTTAATCAAAAGGTGGGATGAAATATAACTGAGGTAGGAGAGATACAGAGAAGGCATTGATAAGTATGGTTATAGCTAATATTAATTGTATAGAGTGATGAATGTTTATGTCCTTGTGTAATCTGGCATTATTCATCAAATTTAATGGAACAAACATTTATAAAGTACCTATTTACTATGTGGAAGACACTAGATTCTGGGCTAGAAGTATAAAATAAAACACAGTCCCTATCCTCAAGTAACTAGGAATTTAACTGAGGGGGAGAGACATACAAATAACCATGACATACTGGAAAGTGTGTTAAGTACAAAAGAGAATTCCAGGCAAATTTGAAAAGGAAGAAATCACTTTCAGTTATGAGGGAGGTCATTAGGGAAGGCTTCAAAGATGAGGTACTTCCTGAGTTGGGCCTTGAAGAGGGGGAAATACGTCAAGAAAAAGAAGGGAGTGGAGGAAAGGTCAGTGAATCCATTCCGTCTAGGCGGATGGCATGGGCAAGGATACAGGTAGGGGAGGGAATGAAGAAAAGAGTAGATAGACTAGGCCATTGTTGCTAGAACATGGAGTACTTGTATGAAGGTGAATAGCATGAAATAAGGCAGGAAAGAAAGTTTGGAGCTAGATTGTGGAAGACCTTGAATGCCAGGAGAAGTTTATCATTAACACCAGGAGACATAAATTTTTTTTTTTTTTTTTGTGGAAAAGTCATATGATCAGAGCTGTGCATTGGCAAAGTTTTTTTTTCTTCTTTTCTTAGAAGCAATCAAGGTTAAGTAACTTGCCCAGGGTCAAACAGCTAGTAAATGTCTGAGGCTGGATTTGAACTCAGGTCCTCGTGACCCCAGGGCCAGTGCCTTACCCTCTTCACCACCTAGCTACCCCTGCATCAGGGAAGTTATTCTGGCAAGGTGTGAGTGCTAGAATGCAAAGGAGATAACAGTGAAGGCAGGGAGATCATTAAGTAAGCTAATTTATGTAAAGGGTGTGCTGCCCAGCTGGCTCTGTAAAATATTTATGCCCATATGGGTTGTCTAAATCCATGCAGGAAGCGTGCATCTCTGTAATCTTGCCTAACTCTCACAAAGGGACACTTTGTTTACTGCCTTGAAGGGAACAGGAGAAGGAGCCGTGAGGAGACACGAACTGTTTTCCAATGTCTAAAAGGTGAGTCTATAGTCTACCAGACTAGAATGACATCTAGGTCCACCTAAATATTGTGGGCCTAGGTGTACAACAGATTTTTAAAAATCCATTTAACTTGATCAATATTAAAGGGAGAGTTACCCCCACCTCACCCTCATAGGCTTATTTCCTTCATACTTACTGCTAATTACATAAAAGTCCACCCCAAACAGTGAAGAGCTAGTAAGCCCATCTAGCCAAGCAAACGCCAAATAGAGAACAAGCAAGTTATACAGAGTAGACTATGCCAGAAAGCACACAGAGTGATTGAACCCTTCTTCTGGAAGTGACATATTTCAGTTCAAGAGAGAGGCCCTCATATCACTCAAGGGAAAGTTCCCCTTAGTGGCTAGGGAAGTAAGCTGGAAATAAAAACCATGTTGAGGAGTCAGCTTTTCTTTATGTGTCTGTAGCTCCAAAGTCTTTCCCTCTCCCCATGCGTATGATGTTGATCCTGGAGAGAGTCTCAAACCACACGCACTGTTTCTCAGGAAGAAAAAAAAAGTCTTTCTTCTCCAATGGTCACTCCAACTCCACCTTTTACTTACACAGGTGCGTAGCATTCTCTCCACAAATTAGGAGAGTCTCATGCAAAATGCTCCAGGATTGGCTGAAAACCTTGGTTAAACTTTTATGACTTATCGGCAAAATTGCCCTAATCGTATCTGAGAGGTAGTTCAGTGTTCTGAGCTCCAGCTTCACACAGAGAGAATATTAAGAGTACACATTTGTTTCATAGTTAGCCTGTTGTCTTGACAAGCTATTTCAGCTCTCTCAAGGCTCTGTTGAGAGCCTTGGGGGGGGGGTCTTCTGTGCCACCTCTGTTACTAATATACCTAATTCCCCAACTTTTCAATATCGTGCTCGTCGTGGGCTTACCTCAGGGACCTAGTTGCACACTATTCTGTTTAGATTGTAGGTGTTCTCGAAGAAAGGGGTTTGACTTATACTAGATTGTTTGGGCGGCCTGACTGGAACAAACGATTATCCTGACCTTAGTCATGATGCTCGGTACCTACTTCGATATACCTGCAGCTTAACTGCATCCCTGTAATGAATAAGGGGTCTAGATTCAGGTATATTTGGAATTCCAGATCACATAGCTCAGGCCTTTTCACTTAGTCATGAAAGGGCAGCTTATGAGAATTATGTAGTACCTGAATCTCAATCTCAGAAGGAACCTCAAAGCTCACTGAGTCCTACCCATACCTCAACATATCTTTCTGTAACATCCCCAAGAAGTTCTCATCCAACTTTCACTGAGATTTCTAGTAAAGGGGAACCCTGTACTGCTTGATACAATCCATTTCATTTTTGGTCATCTCTAATTGTTAGAAGGTTTCCCTTATATCAAGGTAAAATCTACTCCTGCAATTTCCAAAACCTGTATGTCCATTTCTATCCTTCTAGTGCCAAGCGGTACAAGGGCAATCTCTCTTCCACATGACAGCCTTTCAAATAGCTTACTTTATTTTATTTTTATTGGTTAGCATATTATTTAAATTTTTTTCCTTCTCTTTTAAAAATTATGGAATAAAACAATCACTTCTGTAACACAGTATAATAAAAAAGAACATTGCATATGAAACTGCAAATCCATTAAGTACAACTTGCTATTTCTTTTAAATATTTATTTCAAATACTTTATGATAGCTGTCATAATCACCTTCCTCCATGTTTCTTCTTCTCCAATCTAAATATTCCCTGTTCCTTCAACTGATTCTTAAAATGGAAAATTCTCTAGGAAGCAATATGGAATAATGGGTAGAATATTAGAATTAGAGTCAAGAAGACCTGTGTTCAAATCCTGCCTCAGACACTTACAAGTTGTGTGACCCTGATTCCTCATCTGTGAAATGGGGATAATAAATACCACCTACTTCACAGGGTTGTTGTGACAATCCAATGAGAGAATATATGTAAGGTGTTTTGTAAACCATGAAGAGCTATACAAATATTAGCTATTATATTTATTCTCACCATCAAGGCTGTCCTTTTTTGGATATTCCGAGGTTTACCAATGGCCTTCCTAAAATGTGGTGCCCAGAACTGAGCATAATATTTTACATGTTTTCTGTCTGACCAGGGGAGAAATACAGTGGGAATCACTGCTCTGTCTCTCTTTCTGTCTTTGTTTCTGTCTGCCAATGTCTACTTCCTCTCTGTCTGTCTCTCCCTTTCCCTCACCCCCTTTCCACAATGTCTCTTTTAATTTAGCCTAAGATCACATTAGATTTCTTGGTTGCTATATCATACTGTGGACTCACATTGAACTTGCAATGTTCTAAAACCTGAATATTTTTCAATAAAGTTCTGTCTGGTCTTATATTCTTTCATCTTATACTTGTGAAGTTGATTCTTTAAAGCCCAAGTGTAAACTTTACATTAATTTTTAATAAATTCCATGTCATTAGATTCAGTCCAATGCTCTAGTCTGCTGAGATCTTGTGGGACCCTTTTTCTGCCACACATGTTAGTTATTCTTCTGAGCTTGGCATCATCTGAAAACGCTGTACATGCCAACTATGCCTTTATCTACCTCATTAAAAAAATGTAAAACAGCCCAGGGTCAAGCACAGCTCTTA